TATATATATATATATATATTTTTTTTTTTTTTTTTCCCTTGAGACAGGGTTTCTCTGTGTAGCTTTTGAGCCTGTCCTAGAATTTACTCTGTAGATCAGGCTGGCCTTAAACTCACAGATCCATCTGCCTCCTGAGTGCTAGGATTAAATTTGGGTGCCACCACCACCAACGTTAATGTGTAGTTTTAAATGATGCTCTTCATGATAAAATTCCTGGAATTTATTTTCTCATGTAATCCTTTTTTGTTCATCAATATGGGATTACATTTCTTAAATATAATCATTAACAACAATGAAATCAAATGCCCAGGCACATGGGGACGGTCACTTGTTTTGTGTTCGTGGGGTGGAATTTGCTTTTGTTTTATCATAGGCAGGAGGAGCCCAGATACTGATGGATGGAATAAATTTTCAACAGTTATTTTAAAAAATTATTTCTATTTAAATTAGAAACAAGCTTGTCTCACATGTCAATCCCAGCTCCCTCTCTCTTCCCTCCTCCCCTGACCCCACCAGCCCTCTACCCATCCTCCCTCCACTCCCCAGGGAGGGTGAGGGCCTCCATGGGGGATCCCCAAAGTCTGTCATATCATCTAGGCCAGGCCTAGGCCCTCCCCCATGTGTCCAGGTTGAGAGAGCATCCCTCCATGTGGAATGGGCTCCAAGTCCATTTGTATACCAGGGATAAATATTGATATACTACCAGAGGCCCCATAGATTGCCAAGGCCTCCTCAATGATACCCACACTCAGGGGGTCTGGATCAGTTCCATGCTGGTCTCTCAGCCATCAGTCTGGGGTCCATGAGCTCCCCCTTGTTCAGGTCAGCTGTTTCTGTGGGTTTCACCAACCCGGTCTTGACCCCTTTGTTCTTCACTCCTCTCTGTCTGCAACTGGGTTCCAGGAGTTCAGTTTAGTGTTTAGCCTCAACAGTCTTTTGATGCGCTGGGCACAGTGTTTCTTGGGAGGCTAAAGCAGGATGGTGAGTTTGAGACTAGCCTGTTAAGGTCTGGTGGTACACACACCTTTCATCCCAGCAGGTGGATCTTTGGGAGCCTGAGGCCAGCCTGGTTTCCACAGTTAGTTCCAGATCAGCCAGAGCAACAAAGAAGAAAAAGAAAAAGGCAGACCAGATTGGTAAAACACAATAAAGCCCTATTCTAGTTTCATTTTTGTTGTGACAAACACCCTAACAAAATGCTGTATGAGGGAGAAATGGCTAATTTGTCTTAGAATTCTAGGTTACAGTCTGCCATTAAGGGACTTTAAGGTAGGACTTGAGCAGGAAGTCACCCAAGTGAAGAGCTAAGAGAAACAAATGTACCCATGCTGCCTGCTTGCCTAATGCTCCTCTGCTAGCTCCCTCTGCTTTTATGCAGTCCAGGTCTGCAGCCCAGGGAATGGTGTCTGCCCACAGTGGCTGCGGCTATCCCACATGAATTGGAAATGAAGAGAGCCCCCACAGACAGGCCCACAGCCCAACCTGATCTTGACAGTTCCTCAGTCCAGGCTCTTGTCTCTGCTGATTTTTAGGTTGTGGCAATTTGACAATTAAAAACTTAACATCACAAACCCCATCTTAAAAAAAAAGGAAAAGAAAGAAAAAACTAACAGAAAAAACAAAAAGAGTAAGAAGGAGAAATTGTTTTATAGCTCAAAACGAGAAGCCAGTACCCATGAGATAAAACTTAGGACACTCTTTTACTTAGAGCTGGAATAGAAAGAGGGCTCTGAACCTGCCACATGGAGGTGACGTGTGGGTAAATCAGTTGTATGTGCACATTCTTTCAGCCGAGAGTGCCTTCACACTGTGGAAGACAGAAAGGTTTGAGATTTGAGCGTGTTGGAGCTGGAAGACCCCGGTGTAGCCCGTTAGCTGTGGCATAAGTGTGTCCAGCAGGATGAGTGGCAGCACCTGCTAGGGAGTCTAGACACTGAGGCCTAAAGGGTAACAAGTTTATACTTATACTGGGTATCACATTTCAAGAGGCCGTATAGGCAGGCATGTAGGCTCTGAAACATTGGCCAGAAGTCTTGCAGTCCACACGTGAGAGACTGTTGTCAAAACTGGCTGACCTAACTGAGGAACCCTCCCGGCAGCCCGTAAGCCCAGAAGTGCTCTCTTGGTCTAAGGAATGCACACTCACTGGGATTTCCTTTGGGGAGCTGGGTTTGAGACTGTGAGTGACAGTTCCAGAGAGGGAAGTGTCAACTGCATATAATAAGGGTGTGCTTATGTGTGTTTACCTGTGGACACTTCCAGAATGGTGCATAGATCATGTGGGCCTCTAAGTTCCCCTGAAGAAGCGTCCCTCGAATTGATAGCTGCCTCCCACTGTAAAGTCTCGGGGATTCAGAGCACTAAGACTGATAGGAGGACTGGGGAGGGGGAAGGGGAGAAGGAAATCAAAGCAGGGCCACCTCACCATAGTGCTATGGGGAGCAGCCCTGTGTTATGAGGGAACACAAAGGATTCAGTGACCTTTACATCCCTGTGATTGTGTGACTATGGAAACTGTCTCAGCTATTTTTCTCATAACTGACAGGAAAATTCAAGTGAGAAAGTTTTTTGGCCACAGTTCTGATGGTATCAGTTGGCCATGGTCGGGAAGGCAGGCCAGTGGGCTTGGTCCTTGGCAATGAGTGGCAGCTGCTTGTTACAAGGTACCAACCAGGAGGCAGCAAAGCTCTTCCAGAAGTGTGGCTGCACTATGGCTCTCAAGTCCTGCTCTCCTCATTTGGTTCTCCCTGTGGGTCTTGTACCCTTTAGGGAGTCAAATGACCCTTTTTACAGGGGTCACCTAAGACCATTGGAAAACACAGATGTTTACATTATGATTCATAACAGTAGCAAAATTATAGTTATGAAGTAACAACAAAATAATTCTGTAGTTGGAGGTCACCATAACATGAGGAACTGTGTTAAAGGGTTGCAGTGGGAAAGGTTGAGAACCCCTGATCTAGACTCTACCTCCTATAGGTTCTGTAACCTCCCCAAATAGTGCCATTACTTGAGGATCAAATGTTCCAGCTCATGAGCCCCTGGAGACATTACCATAACAAGACTAACCATGACCAGTTTGGATTCCCGAATGTACAAAGGCTCCATTTTAATGTAATAAGCTGTTACATACTGGTTGCTACCAATAGTAAAACACACTTATGACATTGCTTTCCTGAAAATAGGGTCCTGGTTCTGGTGATATTGTGAAAGAATTCAAGTGATAAAATAGTAACAAAAATAAAAGTTTACCAAAAGGAAGGACAGAACACATGAGCATTGTGAGTTTCAGGTTCCTGTTGGTCAAGGGGCTGGGGTCTGGTTGAATCTGAAAACATTGGGCCTACATGCACAGTTTTAAAACCACTTTGTTTTGATTTTGGTCTTATTTTTGTAAGTATGTTAAGACTTTGTCTTACCCTTTATAAAGGTGACACCTAAAAGACTTGTGTCCGTATCAGCTATAGTGGAAAATGCTTATTCCCAGGATCTGAGCTCTAAGCTTCCTTGACCGCTCCTGTGTGGCTGGTGACTTACACTATCCACTCATAGGCTAGAAGCTCTGACCATGTTAGTAATTTTAGGGTGACCCCCATCAGTGCTGCTTCTGCAGATGCAGGTACAACCTGCGATGGGAGTGCCTCGGCCCTTGCTGCCTGTGGGATAAAACAACTGTGAGGTGGGTGGTAGTGGGTGACAGGTGCTGATGCTGAAGGCGATATTCCTGGGACATACTATCTGGAACTTGGTGACCTGTTGGGGCACATGGCAAAGATGAAAGTGGACCATCATGTAATGCCAGAAAATATGTTAGGGTTCTGAACTGATGGAGACATGCTACAGTGACTTAGGCACTAGTTACATTCAAGACAATGAACATACCAAAGTCATGAAGGATGGTAATGAAACACATGTGGTGTGGTGGCACATGTCTTTAATCCCAGCACTGGGGAGGCAGATGCAGGCGGATCTCTGAGTTCAAGGCCAGCCTGGTCTACACAGAGAAACCCTGTCTTGAAAAAACAAACAAACAAACAAATAAAATAAAAACACAGAGCCTTTGATAAATGGATAAGGAGAAAGCGTGGCAAATGTGAACAGGATGACAGGTGGACAATCTCATGGGTATATTTCACAGTTCCTGGGGTGAACTAATTTTCACCTACACAGCATAGCACCTCTTGGGGCTGTTGGATAATGATGTGCTGTAGGCATCTGATGGCACTTCTCACCACAGAGCTTCTCATCCTGGAAGATATTCTGAAGCTACCAACAAGCCTTGCTCTAAAATAGTTTGTTTCTCTTTTCTGTAGCTGTGCCCTTTTGTATAAAGAACCATTTCGGAGATTAGTGGACTTATGGGGTGATGATGGGATCTGTCTGTCGAGAGACAGATCTCTAAGGGGGGCAGTGCCAGAGGTGTGTCCCCACTGTGGCAGTCCTCAGAGATGGGGCTGGGCAGTGGCAGACATCCCAAGGACTTTGTAGTAGGACTTACACTTGCTTGAGGACCATTAGGATTAAAGCCCTTAGCTAGGCATTGACATCTATAAGGGAACCCAGCTTCACCTCACCAGGGGCAGTTCTGTGTTGGGTGCTGAGGGATGCACAGCAGTGATTCTCCCTCAAGGTTTAATCCAGGAGGTGACATGATAAAGTGGATGTGTTTGCTTTGTTGACAGGGTAGAATGAAAGAAAAATAATGTCTCTGTCTGAGGGAACTTTGTATTCACTCCTAATGTTGCCTTACTCTCTATTGCTTTAACTGCTCGATAGGTTGGTGGCGTCGTTCTCTCTGTAAGGAGATGCCTCCCCCCAGTCCTAGGGGGCCAGTCTTCCTTATACTATCCACAGTACCATAACTGGTAGAACAAAAGCCCCCAAAGATGTCCATATTCTAATTGCCTTGGAGTCTGTATTATTACTTCACATAGAGGAGACTTTGTAGGCAGGATCAAAGTTAAAGATGGGGAGATCACCATTATCCCAGGGAGCCCCGTGTAATCAGGGCTTCCTGAGGGGCTGGGCTTGCAAAGGAATCCAGTGATGGGATGTGGGAAGCTATTCCTGGTCTTGAAGATGGGAAGTGAGACAGGACTGTGGGCAGCCTCTAGAAGTTTGAAATCCCCCAGGAAGGAACATAGCCCTGAAGACTACTTGAATTTGACCCACTGGGCCTCACTGGGCTGCCAAACCTCAGATTGGTGAGGTGACAGATGTAAGGTGAGGTGTCAGCACTTACTAGTTACCAGATATACCCATGAGAAGTGAATCTTAACCAGACTGGGATGGAGGGGTCCCAGCAGGACTGAGGTTGAGACAAGTTTATTCCAAGCAATCAGACTTCTTATCCCTTATCAGAAGCAGAATATAATGGCAGTTGCCAGGATACAATGAAGTTTTCAGGCTATACAGGGTACACAAAATTAACAAGTTTCTATATGGTTCGCTGACTTCTAGGGAACAGAGATTCACAGGTGGCCTAAAGGCTTCACTGCCTCAGTGAGTGCCCCAGGAGCCATAGACTCTAACCTGAAAACCCTATGATTTATGCCTCTCAAGGCAGCTGGACCAGGCCAACTCCATGACTCCCCACACACAGACCCATGCTTTAAGCCAGTACATGGATTCCTTCCTGCAGCAGTGTAAGCAATGCAGTGTGTTCATGGTTGGGGTTCAGAAGGACTTGGTGAATTACCAGCACCCCTCCCCTTTTTCTCTTTTTCCCCTATTAGAAAATTGTTTTTATAAGCCCAAGATTAGCTAGAAAGATAGAGGAAAGTATGTATTGTTTTAGTCCTATAAAAGGATAAAGAATCCCTTCCCTTCTTCCCGCAGGGCCCGTCATGGAGTTTGATTATGCGATTTGTGAAGAATGTGGGAAAGAATTCATGGACTCATATCTTATGAACCACTTTGATTTGCCAACATGTGATAGCTGCAGGTGCTTGTTTTCAACTTTAAAACTACTGTTTGTTTTTGTGGTGCTAGAGACAAGCATTCTAGGCAACCCAACTACTGAGCCATGGCCTCAGCCCATCCTTAGACTCACTGAGCTATCCAGGCTACCATAAGTTTGCAGTCTTCCTGCCTCAGCCCTCCAAGTGGCGATCTTCTACCTGGTCTCTGCCTCCACCTTCCCCACCTTGCACCTCTTGAGTCTCTTCTCTCTAGAGCAGCGGTTCTCAACCTGTGAGTCATGATCCCTTAGAGGTTCAAATGACCCTTTCATAGGGGTCGCCTAAGACCATCCGGTTTAGGTTTTACATTATAGTTCATAACAGTAACAAAATTAGTTATGAAGTAGCAACGGCAATAATTTTTTGGTTGGAATCATCACAGCATGAGGAATGTGTATTAAGTGTGCAGCGTTAGGGAGGTTGAGAACCACTGTACTAGAGAATTTTGCTCAAAACTGTTAAAATGGTTTTAATTCCATTTATATGTCTTCACCACAGCTGCAGGTACTCAGTTGCGTCAGTTTAATTAAAATTGTTTATATGATGCTCTTTTCTAGAGATGCTGATGACAAACACAAGCTGATAACCAAAACAGAAGCCAAGCAGGAATACCTTCTGAAAGACTGCGATTTAGAGAAGAGAGAGCCTGCGCTTAGGTTTATCGTGAAGAAGAACCCTCGTCACTCACAGTGGGGCGATATGAAGCTCTACTTAAAGTTACAGGTCTCTAGTAAGCTGGGCTTGGGGTGTCCAACCTTAGGTGAACTTCAGCAGAACTGCTAGTTATTATTAACAGCGGTTTGCTCACATAGTAAAGAATATCCTTTTCTTGGTTCACATGTCCTTTCCAGTCATAGCTAATGACCGCTTAGAGCACAGTGCTTTCATCTTGCTTTTGCTGTGGTAACTTTGGCATGAGCATGTTAGGAGTATAATTTGGACACTAAAACAGGTTTGGAAAGGGTCAGATTCATTTGCCTATCAGTCTTCTTTTATTGTTTTTTTTTCATTCATTTATTTAGTTCATATATAAAGTCATGCACAATTATGATACAGAATACAGTATGTTCACAATGGCATGGCTAAATTAAACCAATTAACATGTTATATCACACATATTCATCATTTTTGTTCAGTCTTCTTTTAAAAAAAAAAAAAAAAAAAGGCTTTTTTTTTTTTTTTTTTTGGGTTTTAGAGACAGGGTTTCCCTGTGTAGCTTTGGAGCCTGTCCTGGAACTAGCTCTTGTAGACCAGGCTGGTCTCAAACTCACAGAGATCCGCCTGCCTCTGCCTCCCAAGTGCTGAGATCAAAGGCGTGCACCACCACCACCTAGCTCAAGAAAGGCTCTTAAGATGAGTAGCATTGCAGTTATTTCACAAATGTCTGAAGCCTAACTGTATTGGCAAATACATTCTGGAATGTTCCCGATGCCCCATGACTTGCACAGCTCAGAGCAGATTTCAGCGCCTTCTCTGAGCAGATTACACGTGTGCCATGGCAGAGACCCACTTATTGGTGTGCTTTCCTGCCCAGCCTGTTGCCTAGAGTCCAAGTGTCATCCTGTATCTACTTCAGAATGGCTTAGATATTAGAATTTTTGTTCCATTATATGAAAGTATGAAGAGACATTGCTTTAGAGCTGTTTATACAGGAATAAACTAGAAGATATTCTAGTATTATTAGATAATTATATACTTGTATATAATTAAATATCTATTCTATTTTATTATACATAAACTAGATATAAATATATAATATATATTTAGTATAATTAGATAATTCGATATTATATTCATCTATAAATAGAATTAAGCCACATTGTGAAACAAAACATACTGAATTTCATTAAATATATGACTGTTGACTTAAAAATGCATCATTTGTATTAGGTACCATTCAAATGGTAAATGTAAATTCAAAGTAAAAATGGTGCTAATTAAAGCATCCCAGGTTTTCTCATCACTTGCTGCTTTGTGCCAGTCTTTATTTCGGTCCCAAGTACCATGCTCATGCACACAAGAGGAATACAAGACTTTCATGGATTTCCTGCCCTCTTGACCTTGTGATTGGACTTTACATGTTCTTTCTCATTGAGTTCTTTCTTCATTTATGTTTCTTTAGTCATATTCAACTCTTTCTGGAAAAAGTGGGACTTTAAGGGAATTTTTAACTGTTAAGTTACATGGTTTTGTTGTTCATGTGACTTCATGGCATCTGTGAGAGTGGGAGTTAGGACTGAGTCCCAGGTGACTGAAGTCTGGCCTGTGCCGTAGGTTGTGAAGCGGGCTCTGGAAGTTTGGGGTAGCCAGGACGCGCTGGAAGACGCGAAGGAAGTGAGGCAGGAAAACCGAGAGAAAATGAAGCAGAAGAAGTTTGATAAAAAAGTAAAAGGTAAGCGGCAGGATTCCCTGTTACTCGACTCACCACGGAGAAAGGTGCTGCGGGCCTTCCTGTCTGTAGACTATGTTGGGATGTCTTTTTCAGAAGGTAGAAAAATGGGCTTGAACTTTGGCCTCAATGGGTTGGTATGTGAGACTTGGTTCAAACCTCACAGTACTACATTTCTAAAGGCCATCGTCTTCATGTGAGTCATTTTGTGCAGGCAGCTGTGGTGGCAGGATGGAGGTGGTGGGATGAGGCACCAGTTAAATCTTGTGTGGCCTGCAGTGTTTAAGAACACAGTAAGAAAAAATAACAAGACTCAGTAGCCACCTCTCTTATTGCTTGAAACAAAAACCATGAGCTAGATAGTCATCAGATTTAGTAGCTAGAAGGAATACCTGGTATTAGTTTTCTTGGGCTTCTTTATTTAAATATTTAAAGAAATCCCAGAAAGAAGAGTAGATGATTGCACATGTTGGGACAGTTGTCAGGTTCTCTTACTGAGTCTTCCTCATGTCTACAGTCATTCCTCCATTGGGGTATCTGTCCACATGTGGCATTCCACTCCCTGATGGATCTGTGTCTGCATCCATTATCCACATGTGTATCCATAATGTTTTCATAAATCTGTCCATCCATGCACATCTAGTACCTACCATGTGCCAAGCACTGTCTGTGCTCACCGAGATGCTGGATTGTCAGGACGGAAACTTGAGATAGTGAGAGAGTGTGCTGGGTATGGCTCCACACCAGGGAGAACCCAGGGTGTGGCAGGAGCACTCAGGGCTGTGAGCACAATCCCCAAAGGAGGGGCTTCAGGAAGTAATCAGTACATGCCCTTCATGTGGTCACTATGTAGAGACCCCTGTGGTGCACACTGTGTCTAAGTAACATGCATCCTGCATATAGGTTTGGTTATATATTTACTTGATCATTTCAAATCAGTATTAGCCATGTTAATTTTTCTTATGATTTTAAAATTTAGAAGAGGTTTTACAGGGTGAATGGGATAGCCAAATGTCTTAAAAGTAAAGAAAAGGGAGTGGTACAAGTTTGTAATCCTAGTACTCAGGAGGCTGAGGCAGGAGGATTGTGAGGTGGAGGCCAGTGTGGGCTATAGAGTCCTTGGCTCAAAAAACAGAAACAAAACCCCAGAACAAAACCTGACCTCCAGACCAACTAAACAATAACAAAAAGCCAACTGATCAACTAACCAACCAACCAATCAACCAAATGAAAAACCCAAACAGCAGGCAAAAGCAAGGCAACATAAGCCTGCATTTAGATGCCAGCAAAGACCCACTGAAAAGAGTTACTCCTCTTAAACTGGCCTTTTCTCTATCTTCTCTGAGGTTTGCACCATCCCTCCTTACAGCAGTGCAGCAGCCTAATACAAGATAAAGCAATGAAGAGGTGCATTAAGCAAGGGGTGTGGAAGGAGGCTTCCAGGTTAGATATTGCTAGCTCAGGATATGTGTGTGTGTGCCTTTGTGATAGGGTCTACACCGAACCCAAAGCTGGCATTGGCTAGACTGGCAGGCCAGTGAGCTCTCAGTATCCAGTACCCACCTGTCCTACAGACTTCTCCCACCCCCCAATGCTGAGGTTACAGTCAGCTATGCTCCACTTTTTTTTTTTTTTTTTCTTTTTTTTATGTGGTGCTGGGGAATTCAAACTCAGTTTCTCATACTGGCACTCTTACCCACTAAGCTGGTGGATTCTCCAATCACTGTAGTGCAAGCCATCTCCCCAGCCCAAGTCCAGGGTTTTAATCCAGCTCCTAGAAATCAACCTGACCCTTGGTGCAGACAAGGAAATATGGCTAAAAGAATAAGTACCAATTAGAAATTTGTATCCACAAAGTGATGAAGAACACTATATATAACTTTTCCTTAGACACTAATTCTGTGGTCTGGTCAAGATGTCATGTAACGGTAACTAAATTCTTACAATTTGACTAGTAAAAAACTATGAGATGCACTTAATTTCTTTCTAATATGAAGATTTTATACACACACACACACACACACACAACACACACAGAGAGAGAGAGAGAGAGATAGAAATTTCCCATAATTTCTAAAACATGCACTCAATTGGTGTTTACTCTTTGGTCACTATATTTGGTCACTGTATTAGTTCGCCAGACAAACTACCATAGATTTTCCTTATTCCTTAGTTGTAGTTGACAGTTTTTTTTTTTTTATTTGGGTTCATTTCTTGTTTGGGTGAAGCATGCTTTTTAAGGAAATGTTTGCATGAGTGTGTTCTCCATGTGCCTACAGATAAAAGAGTGCCTGCCATTTCCCTTTGCATGTGACTGTGAGCTCTGGACAGCCTGAGTCACCTCATTACCTTGGGGTGTTCAGTGTGCTGAGGTCAGTGTGATGCCTTCTTTAATTGTGGCTTTTTGTTGATTCGCTCCAGTGCTTGGTGGATCTTTCCCTGTCCTGACCAGGCCACAGAGGGCTGAGTGGAGTAGACTGTAGAGTAGAAACAAGGAGCTGATTGCAGTTTGCTCAGAACAGAGAGGAAGCAAAGCAATTCTAAAGGCTTTTTAGTTGGAAAGAAATTGGAACATGGTTCCTCTTGATGCACAGCGAAGCTGACATAAAGCTTTCTTCTTTATGGGAAGGTAAGCAATTCCATTTGCCTGTTTTTTTTTTAAGAAAGAATTTATTATGTATACTATGTTGTCTACACGCCTATATGCAGGCCAGAAGAGGAGGAAGTCAGATCTCATTACAGATGGTTGTGAGCCACTATGTGGTTGCTGGGAATTGAACCCAGGACCTCTGGAAGAACAGCCAATGCGCTTAACCATGCATTTGCCTGCTCTTAACATATGGTTTGTGTTAGCAGTTAGAGCACTGAGTTTACTACAGAAAAAGTGTGAATGCCCTAAGTAAATACATACAAAGTTCCACATCTCTGAGCCAGAGCCAAATGCAGGCTTGCTGCTGCTCAGCTGGGTTTTGAAGGGTGCATAGCCCAGTAGCAGACAAGAACCCCACACACAGAATGTTTTTGGTCTGCAGGCTTTTTTGCTTTAAATAAGGTTATGGTGTTTCTCCATGTTGCATGCTTAGTTCCAGCAGTTTTCCTTCTGAAAGGCCAGTTAGCTAACCTTCATTGTTACTATGCATGGCCCCTACCCCTGCAAGGGGCAGGTAAGGACATCCCATTTAGAGGGCCCTTCTGAGTTTGCAGACATTGCACACTGGCCTGTGGATGTCATTTGTGACTGTCATGGAGCTTCTCTGAGGAGTTTGAGGGGTACAACTGCATCCTATTTAGTTCATGGAACACAAATTTGTAGTCTTTTTCCTCCAGGTAGCCAGCATACCTGCCCTCCCACCCAGCATGTAGAAGTGTTGGGTGTCCCTCAGCTAGCTCTTTTGTATGTTTACATCAGAAGCAGCCCTGGGTTGCTTTGATTGCAGACATCCCGTTTCGAAAAATGTAGTTACTAAAAACAAGCTTTGAAGTGGTATTGATTTTTTCACAAGCATTTTGGGAAATCTCTTTGGGTGAATATCCTAAGCAGTTTCTGAGGCTCTCAGCAAGGCTGGTTACTCATTTCCAGGAGAGGCAGTCTTTGGGCATCAGCTGTCTACTGCCAACAGGACCAGGAGGCTGCAGCATGGCAAGCCACACACCATTTGGTGCTCCAGCCTCGCACAGGCCCCAGTTTGTAGCATATGCACCCTGGGTCCTTTCCCAAGGTATGTTAGACCTGCGTGCCTCTACTTTTGTGTACTCTAACCTTTGTATCTCAAGAGTCAACAAAAGACAGTTGATTGCAACTTTCATGAGGGTTGTGAAACCCATAAACCTTCCCGCTTGCTGCCAATCCTGAAATTGGTTCCCAGAGCCCATTTGGTAAAAGGAGAGAACTCACTCCTGCCAGGTTGTCCTCTGACACCTATGCATCATTGTTGCAGTGTGCACACACAGTATTTTTCCAAGTATTGACATCTGGCCATTTTTTTTTTAAGATTTTATTTATTTCTTATGTATACAACATTCTGCTTCCATGTATATCTGCACACCAGATCTCATAATGGATGGTTGTGAGCCACCATGTGGTTGCTGGGAATTGAACTCAGGACGTCTGGAAGAGCAGTCAGTGCTCTTAGCCATCTCTCCAGCCCGACATTTGGCCATTTCTAACCTTCTGTACTTGCATACACTTTGCTAAGCCCTGATTTATCTATAAACATTATGATTCTTACAAATCTGAAAGCTTAACTAAAAGCTCATCATAATTAGGAAATTTAAAACAATTATGCAATATGTAATGTTTCCTATCTGTTGTTCCAGTGACCCCTCTCACTTCCATTTGTTAGATCCAGGAGCCCCTGGGGTGGCACCTTTAATGTCATTCCTTAGTCCTTCTCTTTTGTCCCTGGACTGCTCAGCATCTTGTTTTTGCTCCATTAGACTCAGGCTGATTGTCTTTGGGAGGAATACTTCCTAGGAGATAAAGGGCATGTGAGGCCTGCCAGTACCTAATTTTCAGGGGTGGGGTGGGGTGTGACAGTCATTATTCCTCCACTAAAGTACTACTTTTTGTAATTACACACAACATTGTGGATGTAGCACCGGTTTTACTGAGTGGTTTAGTATATGGAAATGATTCTTAGCTGAGCCAGTTTTTTTTCAAGAAGGGTTTCTCTGTGTATCTTTGGAGCCTCTCCTGGCATTTGCTCTGGAGACCAGGCTGGCCTCGAACTCACAGAGATCCGCCTGCCTCTGCCTCCCGAGTGCTGGGATTAAAGGCATGCGCCACCAACTCCCGGCTATGAGCCAGTTTTTGTTTGCATATAAATAGGGGTCGTTTTCAAACAAACAGCTTTTCCTTGGGTTCTGGCTCTTGTTTTCTTGAGACAACGTTCATGTAGCCTAGGGTGGACTTGAACTTGTAGCAGTCCTCCTGCTTCTGCTTCTGTAATTGCTGAGATTACAGATCCCCATCACTCTGCCTGTTTGGTTTTGAGATAGGAACTCACTACGTAGCTCTGGCTGACCTCCAATGCAGAGATCCACCTGCCTCTGCCGGCCGAGACTAAAGGCATGTACTACTTACTGTGTCTGACCTTTGGTTTTGTTTTGTAAAGCATCCTTTGGACTGACTTGTGGGCTCTTATCAGATCATTGTAGTGCAGGCTCCTCCTGTCACTCTTCATTTTGATGCTCAAATTGTCTCAGGTTTGGCCAATGGAGTCTCCTTTAAGTTGGTTCCTGTCTTTTCCTAAAGCCCCTTTTACTTGGAAAGAATTTCAGACTTGCAGAAAATTGCTAGAATAATGGAACTGAGGATCACAAACACATGCCTTTCCCAGACTGAGCTGCTGTCATACTGTCATTTACATCATGTGTATGCTCTCACTAAAAACACACTTTTTCTGAACCATTTAAGAGTATGTTGCAGAATCACTACCTTGTATGTTTAGTTTTGTATATGCAAATATTTCAAAAATCTAAAAACATCCATAAATCACTTTCAAGAGTTTTGGATATGCAATACCCAGCCTATGATTCCACTTCTGCCAGGTATGTCTACAGGAAGCACAGCAGATCTGGCTTTCTTCGTGTCATTATGTAGCTTCACAGACTTAACAACAGTGAGAAAGAAAACGCCAGTCTTCAGTCATGGCTGGAAAGCTAGGTTTTTCACATATGCAGTATGTATGAGAAGAAAGCAATTCTTCTTCCCCAAGTACATACAACATTCAAATCTGGCAGAGAAGGTAGCTTAGTTTGGTTGTATTGCAGCCCAATTTTGAAGGGTTTTCCCAGTGGGGAAGTCAAGGAGAGTGGCAGAATATATTCCCCCAGCCAACTCACACAGGAGATGCCTGCTGCTCCTCTGCAGTCAGGAGGCACACGGACTCACGAAGGTAGCAGAGAGCTTTGCAGAGACTTGAAAAATCAGAGCTCTTTCATAATGAGATGACCAAGACTAGAGTTTGGATGACAGACCTTTCTAGCAGATCATGGACACACTGAACCTTGTAAATCTCAGTGATGAAAAAGGCAGCAGGACTAGTGAAGAATGCTGCCCAGGGCCAGGGTGTTCCCTGGGGACCTAAGCTGGGCTGTCCCTCTGCTCATCAGCTGACTGACCATGGGCAGTGTGTAACTTCTGCCTCCGTTTGCCCATCTGTAAACATTGGGATGACATGTCTGTAATTACCCAAAAAGATGTAAAGTAAATGCATCTTAAGTACTTAGTCCAGTGTCCAGTATATCACTGTCTTGCTTTTACCCAAGGTATGTGTGTTATGGCTGGAAACAAAGATTTTAGTAGTGCTTTGATATTAGTTACAGCAAAATATCTTAAGGAAAATGAGCAACCCTGGAATCTGTAGTTATTTGTTGTGAGCCACTTGACATGGATGCTATGAGTGATCCCAAGTCCTCTGGAAGAACAGTATATGCTCCTAACCGCTGAGCCATCTCTGCAGCCCCTGACAGTTTATTTGTAGAAAACAATGGTGTTGGTATGGGAATGTAGCACAGTTGACAGAGTGCTTGCACAGCATGCACAAAGCCAGGACCCAGTCCCCAGCACCACATAAGCCAGATGTGGCTCTCATGCCTGAACAGTTAAGAGTGGCCATAGGCTACAGAGAGAGTTTACAAGACCAGCCTGGGTCTACATGAGACTGTCCTAACAAAACAAAACAAAATGCTAAAACAATGCTGTCGTTTTATAAACTAGACAAGAGGTCACTCCACTACAATGGAAATACATCAGCATATATTAGTATAGGAGAGTCTTGGCTTTCTAGTTTTCTTGTAAGTAGAACTTGACTGACAAGAACTCCTGACTGAAAACCTTGGGATCTGAGCCAGTCTCATTCTTTGCTTACCCCAGCTGACTTTGCTGCTCTGGCATCCTGTCAGATGCCCAACACATCCCAATCTGTTGTTTTTTTGTTGCTACACTTCTAACTACCCCACACAGCCATTTCTGTGAGTTCATATTGCTTGACAATGAAATGAGCAACTGCAGAGACTAAGCAGGCTTGGCAAGCTTGTTGAACCAGCTATTGGCATTAAAAGAAACCATTATATACATTACATACTCAAATACCAGTGAAAGCCTCATTGGGTTTGTTTCGTATTCAGCTGAAACACTTGTTTCCCCCCTTAGAATTGCGGCGAGCAGTAAGAAGCAGTGTGTGGAAAAGAGAAACAGCTGCTCACCAACATGAGTATGGACCAGAGGAAAACTTGGAAGATGACATGTACCGAAAGACTTGTACCTTGTGTGGCCATGAACTGACATACGAGAAAATGTGACTTTTAAAAACAAATTTATATTCAAATAAAGGTTCTGTTCAATTGTACCAGTCTCCATAGAAACAACACTTACAAAATGATTGTTCCTAAGGTCTGGCTGAGGGCACAGTGTCCCATTTGTGGGAGCCCAGTGGTACAGTAATATTCAAATGTGGCAGGTCATTTCCTTTACTAACTAAAGAAAAACCCTCTGGTGATGGATATGCTTAAAGAAAAAAGGTACACACGTACACCTGTACATTCATGTGCACACCCTGTGTGGCCCTTTCCTTTGCACACAGATAAGTAAAAAGTGACTTATTAGAGGTTAGAGCTACTCCATGGGAACAAGGGACATAGGTAAACCCTAGGTTGGCATAGGAGGAAGTACTTTCAGGGTGAGGTCGATGGAACTGAACTTAGCTCAAGAAGCCAGCAGGTCTGATGTCTTCAGCAATGGCAACAGTGAATGTCACTACAGAAACAAGTACCCCGAACAAGTACAATGAACTCCGCAGTCTGTGTCCAAGCCCCATTCTTCAAAACCTTCATGAAGCAATTTGGAAATGCTGGGTCAAAGGGGGAAAAGGCTACTTTCAAAGCTGAGTGTCAGACTATTTCATCCAAAGCATTTAACTCATCACTTAATGTACTCTTATCTGCCTATAAGTTCTCATCTAACCCAGGGAGAGGTAACAACTTGTTTCCATGCTTGTTCAACACTGGAAAGTGACAGCTGTAAATATTACTTCTCCATATCCATTTACATCAGTTTAGCTAGCCAGATTTTTCTTCAGTCTTGTCAAAAGTATTAGTAAAAAGTATCACTAATAACAGGTATCAGAAGCAACCATTATATGTGAAGAAAAGACCAAGAGAAGGAGCTGGCAGTGGTGGCGCATGCCTTTAATCCCAGTACTCAGGAGGCAGATGCAGGTGGATCTCTGTGAGTTTTAGGTCAGCCTAGTCTACAGAGCAAGTTCCAGCAGAGCCAGGACTACACAGAATCTAAAATAACAAAACAACAAACAAAAACCTCAAGCAAAGGAAAAGAATAGCATACAAATTTCTCTACACTGTAGCTCAAGTAGAACTAGCTGAGGTCAAATCTGCTTTGAGGACAGAAGCTTTTCTTAACAGTGTGTACTGTGTTTAAACATCAGCAAGGAGGCTTCAACAAAAACCCATGTTGAGATAAAGTGGGTGCTTCCATCCCTCAGTTACACTAGGGAGCTTATGTAGCTCACTTTACACATTATACTAGTAGAAAAGCCAAATTCAAAACAAGTCAATCCTACATAACATGGGACCATCATTACTAGTTGTTCTTTAGAAATACTTACTCAGTAGATGTTCTGTGTTTTTCAAGGCTGGCACTTTATGTGTGCTATGCTAAACATTACAGCTCAGTAAAAACTGGTCCTGGACGGGCA